GTTAATTTTCGAGACTTTTCGGTCCACCTTTTGTTAGAACGCCAGTAATTAAATCTCCATTTAATTTATTGATTGCTAATTATTTTTAGCACAACTTTTTTTTTGTTGCGTTAATGGGAAAACGGTGAATTATGAAGAGATTTCTTTTTTGTGGTATATATTCAATTTACCTCTTACAATATTAACTAAACAACCTGTTTTCAACAAATAGAGGGTTAAATTAGTAATTGTGTCGTTTATATCGACAACAAATTGATACCTAACTTAACAAAAACATTAATTTTTATAAGAATAAAGCTTTTAATTACATACTAGTTTATTCCCAGCATCAAAAAACCTATAGTACAAGTTATGCATAATTTAAGGAATAACTCTACAATTAGATAAATAGGTACCTAAATATATTTATTAACGGCCAGAATACTCACGATCGTGAAACAATAAAAATATGAGAACAAGATGAACTTGAGCGGAGCAATTACCAATAAGTTTAATAACATCGAGCCATTGTTGTCAGTACACGAAGCGATTAAATAATGCGTTTAATTACGCAAATAAAACAAACGCGTACTATTGATAAGACGCGATGTACCTATATCGGGTTCTTGAGGAAATTTCATTGAACTCGCGGAATAATGGAATTCCTCGCAGGTAATCGCAGTATCTTGTTTACCGCTGTTATATTAATGGGTGGGTAAATAGTCGGGCTTGATTATATGCAAAAGAAATACTAATTTCCTCGTAATGCCTCGTAATGTGGGACCTTAGAATTCTCCGTATAAAACGGTATAACCTTAATTGAAGAGTCGAAATTACCATAAATTTCATTGGGATGAAGTCAAATCGAGGATGCTAAATGAAAATTTGAATGACCAATAAGCCTCTGTATAGAAGATACCTACATACCTTGTAATACCTGAAATGCTTAGTGAAATTTGCTCGTTTTATTTCTGGAAATGCGAAACCATCAGCGTGTTGAGTGCGCGTTTTTTACTCAATTTCGTAATAAACAAACTCCAAAGCGGCATGAACTCGATCGGATTCCGGCTAATTTAAATGCGACTCGCGTCTGATGGGCATCTAATTGGACGAAAAACGAGCAGGAGTTTGCCCATAGAAAATTACGCTCAATAATATTTCATGTCGTACCCGATTTGAATAGAAAGTCTCCGCAAATGCGTTCGCTTATTAAATTTATCCGCGATCATTACCGTCGCGTTTTTAACGATTTTACGGCCGCTATGGCGTTTCTCGCACACCTAGACTAGCTTTCTTCGAATCTTCGAAATAAAATTCGATTCGAGATGGACTTTCGTTCTCGAAGGTTTGATAGGTCGCTTTTCGCGCTGAATTTAAAGTGATTCTTGACCTGTGGGTCCTCCGGTGCGAGTCGTTGATTTGACATCTCTTGCCGTACGGCGGGTCAACGAACATGCGTTGGTTATTAATTAGTAATTTTATGTTATGTCTGTCTCTAAACAAGAAACCGAAAAAAACGATTAGAAGAAAGTGTTAACATCTGTAATAGATATGAAAGTACAACATGAATATGCAAAGTGGACCGAAGTTATCCAATGATGCTTCATAATAGCGTGCAAGGTTCGTCAAAAGTAAAGCGTTAATTAATTATCTTCGATGAAATAATGTTGTGTACAAATGAAATCACTTAGCCAGTTCGACGCATGACTGAAAAAATATGAAATTTATTTTTCATCTACAAACTAATGATAGATATTAATAATTTTTATTCTACATTTTTTACATTAAAGGAAGTTCTTCTCTCGCAATCATAATATTTTAACATTGCGACTTTTTTCAATAGTTAGGTACTCTCAATATGCCATCTATAAAACACTTTGAAGAGTAACACAAAAGTTTCACAAAAACGCTCTCCCTTGGTAGACAACAAACAGCGATCATCCATCCATAAACCGATAATCATCATGTGCAACGGTACGTTTGATTGAGAATTCCCCGTACAGCGGCCATTAATTCAAATGATCTGGTATGTTCAGCGGTCCCATAGAGCATGATCGTCATATGAACGATGCGAATATCATTCCTAAGAAGTTAATAATATTTTACTGTTAGCCATCGGACATGTAGACTTTACTGAAGTCTGTTTATATGAAAATGAAATTGAATGTCTTCGAGAGATGTAAATACCAATTAAAGCAGATCGTGTAATTAAATGAAAATAATTAAATGTAAGTTTATGAAAGTACACTGTACTGGTTTTTCTAGGTGTATGGCGTAGTTTCAATTTAGCTACAAGCGATTGTTGGTAAAATCAATTCATGACTGGCCGTCAGAAATTAATCATTATTTCTCGGTAATCAAGAAATTAAATAAGCACAAATAAAGAATTTACAGTTCATTTATGGCTATTCCTATATTTTTATTATTATTTATTACACTAACCGTTATTGTATTTCTACGAGAATTGGTACGAGTTTGCTACAATAAAAGGTTATTCTCCTTTAAATCCATTATAATAACTATATTTAACTTTTATTATACATGGAACACCCGATACATTGCAGGAGAGCGTAATTTTTAGATACTTTTGCCACAGGATCTCAGCTCTTGCCATTACTATCATATCTCAAATACCAATCAAATTATAACTCAGTTATTGAAAAGTTAACGCAACGCAATTAATATTCAAAAAATAGAGGAATGGTGTAGAGGTATTTTAAATATAAAAACACAGAGTGCTGTGCAGTAATAATCTCATTACTCCATTTACAAATCGATAAATGCATATCCGCTCATCCGTCCATTTCATCGGACTTTTACCGGTCTCTATCGAATCGAAAAATCAAACAAAACGGCGAAATATATAAATTAAAAATAAAACCATTAAATTACCTCCGATGCACTCGGATGCAACCGCCGTCCTTTCCTCATTTCCATTCCGATTGAATTATTGCCGTCGAATTAGCCGGCCTCTTCTTACAGTTACCAAGAGCTTAGCAACAGCCGAGGGCTACTTTTTAACTGAATTAGATAGTATTATTAAAATTTTATTTAGCTCGGCGAGCGTGAAGATTACCATCCGCCGAAGAGGTGTAGCTAACGACCATGACCTGTCAAAAGATTCGCAAGAGAAGCCAGGCGCTGTTGCGATGCCCGCGAATTGAGATGTTCCTTCCTGTCCTATCCTCTGCCAGACGCGTTTTGGACGTCTTTTATCGATTAGGTTGCGCTTTCGGTTTTACTCTATGCTTCGCGCTCTCTTTCTCGAATTTTTATGCAAGTAGGTGCAACGGTGCATTCGTTTTATTTAATTAATTGCTCAATGTGTCTTCACTTAATTATCTCCACAAAAGTTGGTCAATGGGTGTTGAGTCAGGAGAGATTTCTGGTCATAGTACAACTTTTCAACTTTCTTCGAAGATTTGTATGCAAAATTTGGATTTATGGAAACGTAATATGTCTCTAAGGCCTCGCAAGCTCGAATTTAACAAATTATTTAAAAACTGCAAAAAATTAGAATTTATGAAAAATTAATTACAGTGAGTGTACTTGTACCGTTTCGTTCACTAAGTAAACACATAATTAAATCTCTCCATGTAATGTTTTCATTGCGCTTTCATACTAAAAATAATATATTTTGTGTAATTTCACGATTCAAGAACGATCAACAATAAGACATAAACAAAAATAGCGTATGTAGTAGGAGTGGCCGAACACTTCTGAGCATCGCTATTATTTAATTAACAGGCATAACAGTAAAACTGTTCGTTATTTATTAGTTTTTTGTAGCCCGTGATGCCTCTGTTTAAAACGATGCTTTCGACGTCTGGTCTATGCTATAGAATAGAAAGCATCGGAGCTTTTTTACTCTTCTCTCATTTATTGATCGATTAGGTATGTGCACGAGATGAGCATTATGCTTAAGTGTATTAATAATCGCCTTCTTGGTATCAGCATGTGGGTCACACGTGCTGAGAAAAAACGGTGGAAATATTAAATTTATTTTCGTGCTGGAAAACTCTTCCTGATTTTTTCAGATGCAGGAATAAATCAAAAGTTTGTTTGTTCATTCACGGTTTTATAAGAGCTCTTTAGTTGTTTGAAATTTTTTATTTATTTCTACTATAGATTTTCTCGTTTGCTTCGCAAGCTTGATTATCAAAATGGTAATTTGAAAGTAAAATTATTTTAAACGAACTTTGAAAGCTCTGCAAGTAATAAAATTATTAAAAATTATAAAAATACAATCGGTACGCCGGTTGTTTAGTATGCGGTGTTTTAGGTGGTTTAGTATGCGGTCTACCCAAATTGTAACAACAAGAATTTGAAAATTGACCCTTTATTAAGCAAAAGAAAAGATTTTACTGGTATTATATTTTATAGAACAACATGTTGGCATTCAATTTACTGATAATTGGGGAAGTACCAGTATTTATTTAAACCTATCTATATTCTACCTTCATTAAGCAAACGATATAGTACAGGGATCTCGGAAAGTATAGGACATATAAAAAGTTTAAATGGAGGAATATCTGCTGCAGTTTTGTGAGACATGTTCACAACCAGTGTTTTTCATTTACAAAATATGACAGCAAGTATTTAATATACTTGAGCGACGAAATATGTTGGTAGACCACGAATATTACGGTAGACCTCATACTAGACCGGCACCATACAACTCTTGAAAAAATTAAACAAACCTATACAGCAATAAATCTTAATCAATTGCTTCATTAATTGACTGATTGATTGATTCAATTTGATGGATTGATTCAACGATTAGAGTACACGGAACACCTTGTATGAAGTAATTTTGCATCCGGTAAAAGCTCGCTCAATCCCATTCCTGTACCAAACAAAAAGCAAAGCACCCTCTATCAACAAATAAAGCGAAACAAACGAAACCGGCGAACAAACGCAAAACGAAACGAGCGGAATCCATACAACATACAACAAAACTCCATCACATGGCCTACTGCACACGACGCCTATAAAACAAAGTGCACCGCGATGCGCTATCAGTCGACAGTCAGCTGTTTCGGCGCTCGAATCGAATCGAATCGACCTTCGAGAGAAAGAGGAGTTTCTGTTTTGTAGCCGGCCGGTGTTCGCTTGCAGACGTTCGTTTCGTTCCTTCGGTCCGTCGATTTGTTGATTTTACCTTTTGAGTTTCGCGAATTTCCATCCTGGCAATGGCTACCTACGCTGCTTTCCGGCACATCGAGCTCGACAACGTAGGCTACGGCAAAAAGAGGTGAGTGTTTCGGGATCGGGGAATAACGATCGGGAGTTCTGAGGGACGTCGCTCCGTGTGGCCTACATTCGGAGCTGCATGAAACTCGTGGGCTCCTGACGTCTGGAAAATTTTCCAGAAAATTGTTGAGTGTAGTGCGTAGTAGCTTCAGCAGGTGGAAAATTGTGGAAATCGATTTGCCTCTACTTCGCGGAATTCTTTTAATTTTTTTTGTACTAGTTTTTACAAAATTTATGACCTGCGTCACTTCATAATTTTCCACAATTACCAGCAAAAAATTAAAAATTATCTATGCAATTATTTATTCAAAACTGCCACTATTAAATATAAAATTTAATAAAATTAGTTTGAAAATCTAGTGGTTACAGAGAAACTAATCAATTTCCATTGAACAGTAAATTCAATACAGTATCCGCCCGTTGAATTATATTTAAAAAATTAAAATGAACTGAAAAAGCGGTAGAAATATTACAGTTGCAGTAATTACTGCTAGATATGGAAGAAGCTTGATTTATATTATATGCTTAGGTAAATACTAGCTAGGTTCTGGGTTAGAAAAATTAAAAGAATAAGCAATATATCATATAATAGTGTTTAAACTTATGTCTTTTAATATCTGTTATATTCACAGAAAAATATTTATGAAGGAGAAGAAGGTTTTTCTCCAAACCATGCTCATTTTTCTCCCTAGAATTATTAAATCTACTAATTCTATCAAATTCATTAATTTTATCCAAATATTTAATGCATTAATAATTGTAAGAATTTTCTCTTTCAATGTCTAATATTTGCAAATAATACTTTTATTTTATTTTTTACGCTACAATGAGTAGCGTGTCCTGTCTTGTAGCTGATTATCAAAATATACTATTTTATTTTATTTTTCCAAATTACATGCATGCTGCATGATATTGGATGATGTAATAGGTAATAACATCAATCAAATCAAAGTATTTATACCTTCCTCTAAACGGCTGTTGAACTCTTGCAAAAATCGATACGGCAATTACAGGAAAAGCGATATTAAATAAAAAATGAGCGCTTGTCTCGGAAACATTTCGAAATTGCCCTTCGATTTCGGTTATTTCCTAATTTGTTTCAATATTCCCTGACACGTCGAATTGGAAGATAAATAAATAATAAATATGCCCGTCAGAATATTACCGGTGTATCTGCCTGGTAATTAGGAATAAAATTGAAGGGGGTGTTCGAGTGCGCCAAGTATGAATAGGCAGGAAAAGTAGTAAAAGTATAGGACATGAAAAAAAATGTATAAGATAATACAAAAGCTTATGCAAATCAAAACAATTAAGGGGCGAGGAATTCGAGCCCACCTACGGGTCACGCATCGTTGATAGCACGTTCAGGTCATGGATGATATGGGACAACACCCACACTTCGCAGATGAAAATTGTTTACTAAAATATTTAATAATAAAATTATACATAAAATATTTTTATAGGGCGTAAATACTCTTATAAATACTTTTCCTATTCAATTTTATAATTGAAGCTGACCCTGTATGTTTAATTAATACTTCATCGAGTTCGGTGATAAACATGCAAATTGCACGACTAGATTGATTCCTGCGGCCCACGCGAAACTAAAACCGAATAATTAACCAAATTCAAACGCATAATATCCGAACGTTATTCACGGTTTATTAAAAGAAATTGCTCCGCACTTCGAATAGTAAAACCGGCATTGAACTCGACATCGTCGGGTTCACAGTCAATGCCGACGAAAGTCTATTTTTATTATCATTTTTTCCCGAACCGAATCGAATCGACAGGAATTCGATCGTGAGCGTCTCCTTTTTTCGGGTGAAAGTTTTTATTTAATAACATAGTTCGGACGAAATTCCACGTCGCGGAAAAGGGCGTAGGCGCACGTACGCCTCGCGATGCCTATCATCGGAAAATGATGGAAGGTAAATACGTTTTTATGCAAATCCATCTCACGATCGTGAATGGGATCACAAGTTATCTAGGTGTATAACAATCAAAGTAAATAATGTTGTTTAGATTTAGAAAATATATTAAATATTAAATTTATATATCAATAGGTACTAGATATTCTAGAAACTATGGGTATACACTAGGTACCAGTTCTCTATGAAATAATATAGCTTTATTGGTGAAAATAGTTTTTAATGATGTCCTGCACTCATAGAGAAAGAAAAACCATTTATGAAGGGTCCATGAAAGACTCTCTTTTAAAAAATGTTCTAGGTTAACGTACGATGTCCTGGGAGTCCCACTTTAATAGAGAATGATTAACCAGTTACTAAGGGTCCATGAAGGATTTATCCCTGATAAGCTATGTACTAGGTATATTATACGATGAGCAAGTCATAGTAGGTTCTGGGTATACTAGATACTAGGTATTCTAGTATTCTATGAAAATATGGAGTTTCATTATGCCAACGCATTTTTATGGGAGTCCCGCATTCATAAAGGGAAGAACCCAGTTGTCTAGGATCCATCAAGTATTTCTCACTCTCAAAAAATATACTAAGAATATGTACAGACCATGTACTAAGCCTAGTAGATTCTGCAAATACTAGGTTCTATAATGTACATTATCCTTCGCATTATATTATAATAATCATGTCTATTATCTTGCCAGAAGGAATTTAGGTATTCACTTTCGCCGGTTCTTCTCCCGAGTGCTTCAATCATTGCACAACGTTAGAACCACGGGGCCCAATCGATTAATTGAATAATTGCAAACCGAGCGTTCGAAATCATAATGATGAATCGTGATTGATCTGACCGGTGCTAAGTAATTGAATTTAGAAAATCGCGTATATGTGCATTTTCGAGCCGTAAAATACGCTTTACGCAGTCGGGATCACGATCTTTAGCTTCGACTATGGGAACGAAACTTTTCATCATCTCAGGCGAACGAGGAATCTGGGTTAATGCGATCGTGCTCCCGTCCGATGCTCGAATTCGAATTCCGACACCTATGGGTTCGCTTCGTCGGCCAGAACTACCAATTATTCGAATCCTAGAAGCGTATTAGATGCAAGATTTGATAATAATAGCGTGGGTTTTTTAATGAAATTGGATGGTGTTGATCGAAAATTGATTTTGATTTGCCGTTTTTTTTACTTTCACATCTACAGGATGTTGCCAAAATTATTGGTAGTATTTTAGCCCCAAGCCAGATAATGTGAATTTCTGGTGATTTTTATGTATCCTGAGTCCTGTAACTGAGATAGGGTAGTGTCTCGATCAGATAGGGAAATGATTCTATGAGATATAGAAATTAATATGGAAGATATATGGAAATAACTCTATGATATACGGAAATGACTATACGAGATAGGCGATAGGGAAATGACTCTATAAGTTAGGGAACTTTTATCCACAAGGTACCGAAGAATAGTATGAAAATCATAAACGATTTTATCTTTGATAAGAAAAATACGGGATGCTTATACAATACCTAGTTATGTCAACTTGTTAATAAGATTGATATCTTGGGAAGTCTTGTTCTGGAGGATCGCGTTTGACCTTGCACTTGAATTGTGAATTGTGATTCGTGATCGATGAGGCTAGATAACTGTTTTAGCGAATGTTCACGAAGGAAATTGTATAGACGGTAGACGGGGCGCGCTTTCCGTTCGAGCGATAAACCAACGTCTTTATTACAGAATCAATTGTTAACAACAAAGCCTTTAAAGACAATGGCTAATTTTGTGCCTAACCTATGAAACGCCGACCGAAAAAAATTCCAATGGGAATTTGTGGTTTATTTTGTTATGCGTCTTGAAATTGATTTACTACATATACACTGAATGGGGAAAGATAGAAGAATATTGAAGGACTTTGAAGTAAGGATGAAGGATCAAAGAGGAAGAATGAAGGGTAAATGAAGAAGGTTTAATGATGGGGTATGGAAGAGGAAGGATAAAGGATTAAGAGAAACCTGTAGATACTATTAAGACTACTTGTTATTTGTTGAACATTGTACTAACAGTAATCTATCCAAGAGTGTAGATTTCTATATTTGTTTTATTGACTCATTTCAATATTAAAGTACCATTACTATCAACAATTTTACAGCTGTAATGTTGTAATAGCGAGCAATTAATAGCAATTAGTAAACAGTTATATTTTAACATCAAGAAGATCCGAGTGCAAATATTTACGAATCGTTCGAACGTCGAAAAGCCGTGGCGAGTTCGGATTTCGTGATATCGTAAGTTTCTTTTGTGTGTACGAATTTGAAACACGAACCATTGTTGAAACAAGCAAAACTTCCTGGGCGTTGTTCTTTTGAAAGCGGACAATGATTTTCGGTTTTCGACGGAAGATTGAAGAAAGTTATGATCAAATGAAAGTAATTTATTAGAAATTATCGAAAATTGAAAGTACTATACGGTCATTCTCGTCGTATTTATCCGATAATAGCGACAATTCTCTTTCTATTATCCGATATTTTTTCAGATAATTCCTTTAACCTGAAAGTAATTTTGTCTACACCGCAAAATTGACTATCATACTGAAAAAAATGTTAATACTTAATTTCCGACTATTAACTTATCCTGCTAAACCGATTAACTCAATATTTCAAAAAAGACGTAAACATATAACTAAGTATCTACCAGCATTAGAAAATTCTAGTGTGTTCATATAATAATAATACTACGAATGGGTAGGATGTACGAGTTATTATTACACAGTGAAAAAATTTGAAAATTACTTTATCAAACATAAAATTCTACATTTTGCGTCTGCACTCTGCACATCATGTATTAATTGTGAAGAGTAATATTTCATTTAGAAACTTAAAATGATTTTATCGAAGACCTACATAAGTATAAAATGCCTAAATTGTCTGAATTATCATCCATAAATCACACGAAATCATCAAGCCACGAATTTCTTTTTTAAACTAACATTTATTGTGCTAGGCACCTACTAATACGAATTTCTAGTTTCGCCAAATTCTAGACCCAACCCAAATATACCTAATAAATTCTGACCCAT